AATTAAATAATTAAATTAAAACTTGTTAGAAAAAGGGATAAAATAGTAAAGATTAACTGTTACACTATAATTTAAGGCGATTAAATATAAGCAAATTCAATGTTGATATTTTACTAAAAATAAGCTTTCCCTTTCAAATATTAGTACACAGACTACGGAAAACTCTAAAATTTAAATTTTTTTCTTTAATTTTTAATTACTAGCTTTGGATTAATTTTTTTTCAATCCGCTTTTGTGGTCAAAAATTAAAAAATTATTTTTAAGAAGGATTTTCGGGATTACAAAATATAAAAAATATTTCATACATTAATCTTAATATTTTTTAATTATTTGCAACCCTGGTTGGAGTGTGCTGTGTAAACAAAAAATATTTTAATACACAGAAATAAATAAAAAAAAATTAAGTAATGCAACAAAAAAGAAATTGGTATATAAATAACAAGAAATAAAATAAATAAAAAACTCGACTAAATTTTTTATATTAATATATATACATAAAAAAATATAAACTGAAAACTATATTTCCAAAATTAATTGTTGAATCTAGCAATTTTAATAAATTTTACAACTTCGTCGCGAAAAACCTTATTAACAGCTAACTTTTGCAAGCTTGAGTGGTCTTAGCGCATTAGGCGATTAAAACTATTTAAAGTTAGTAACCAACATGGTCATTTGTAAGAAGCTTCAGCTTCAAATCTGGAAAAGCGAAACCTGAAACTGAACTATGGAGCACTAATTATATTTTAAATTATCATTTATAGTTTTTTATTTATGTATATATTTATATTCACATATATATATATATATATATTTTTTTTTTATTCAAGCAAACAAATAAGTGGCAATATCATATTGCATATGCAAATACTTTCAGTTAAAAAGTTAAATAAAATTATTTCAACTTAAACCGCAACATTCTCGCAAGCTTTTGTTCCGTAGTATAAGCTTTTCTGTGCACCAGCAAGACATTTGAAAAATAACTTGAAATATTCTAAACAATAATTGTTCACGTTATGTGATAATAATAATAAAATAAAACAAAAAAAATTGTTTAATAAGAAAAAATGTATAATAATGAAAAATAATTTGAGAATATTTAACTGATAAAAATTTAAAGGCACAAATACTCAACCGCACTGCGGCTTTAATTTTGTTAGTTTCTATTTTAAATAATACAAGAGTATAAACTTGCAAGCATGCTTATAAATTTATAAATACTTAAATAAGCGTAATAAAAAAGTGCAAACAGTAAATAAAGTAGTAGAAAAAATATATTTAAATTCTTTAACTGTTGTTTAGCTGTAAAAACAATCATAATAATGCATAATTAAATTCTAATCTAAAAAAGGTAAAGATATACAAGAAACATGTATGTAGCTTAGTTTATAAAAAATTAATGCGATAAAAATTAAATATGAAATATTTTTAGCAAAAAATACATTTTATCTTTTCTTACAAGCACTGCTTTCAAGTGGCTGGATCAATTGGAAATCGTGCTTCAATAACGAATTTTACTTAAAAGTTTAAAATATATTTATTTCTATATTTTATTACAGCTTTAGTTTTCCTCCCTATTTATTTATTCTTATTTTTATTATATCCTATCTTCCTATTTTTCTCCATGTATTTATTTATATCAGAGTTAGTTTAATTTATATATTTTTAATTAAAATTTTTGATTTATTTATACCTTTATTTTTTTTTAATAAATTTATTTATTTATTTTTTAATTATATTGAAAAAAAATTATATATTATATATTATGTACTTATTTGAGATACTGACGCTCATTCAACACACCAAAATCATTGGCTTTTTATTAATTTTTTTTATTATTACTCTCTGAATTTTTGAAAACCGTAAAAAATAGATACCACAGTCATTGCATTATGAAATGCATACCTGCTTTTGTAGTTCAAAATAAGAAAGTAAAAGTTTTGAATTTGTAGCAAGTATAATATTTGTATGTAAAATTGCGATTCCATCCGTTGAAGAACACAATGCAAATTAAAAAATCGACTACCAGAACTCCTAATCATTCGCACACTCATACGAGCACCATTTCATATAGCTAACCAATAATAAATACCCTTTTATAATTAGTATTTTTTCTAACAAAATTCTCATTTTCTTACTAAGAAGAAAAATATTTTGTTTTGTACAAGGGAAATATTATATCATTAATATGCAAGAATAGTAAATTAAAAAGCACTGTTACTTAATCAGCTAAAACGGCAACTTGTTTACTTTAACTTAAAATCAGTAATAAGAAACAAAAATCAACAGAATACAAAATAACTAAACGTATTTCTTGAAACAGTGTTGCATTTTGCATCTAAATACATACTCTATAATGAAATGACAAAAAATTTGAAACTTTTGAAATTGTAACACCAATAGCACAAGAACAGCAGTAAACATGAAAATAAATTAAAAATAGTTATATAAATATATTTACAATTTATAAATAAATTTAAATGGATTATCAGACAAACATTCATATGTATTACTTTAATATATACATATTATGCATATACAGATATGAATATACTTAAACGTAACCCTAAGCGAAAGTTGCAAAAACTGTGTAATTTGAAAAAAAAAATATTACAAAAAAGCGACACATGGTTAGTTAAATAATAAAAAACAAAACATACATTTAATGAAAAGAAAAACACATAAAACTAGCAGAAGCGTTTAATAGTAAAAATAAATATTTGAATATAATACATTAAAAATATGTATGTATGTATGATGATTTCGATATTCATTATTACAAATAGTAATAAAGAAATAATAACAAATAAATGAACTCAATATAAAAATCTTCAAACTTTAATTAAACATTAAGTAAATGCAACTAATATAACAGTTAAGAATAAAACAACAGCAAAAAATAGTAAACCAGGAAACTGAACGCTACAGCGAGAAATGAAATGAAATGATTAACTGGCGGCGAAGACGTGTAAAAATAATAAATACGCAACAAAAACAAACAACACTGTTTCTATTCCAGTTAGGTAACTATACTGTATACCTATATTGTATACCAAATTCAAAGATACCATATACAGGGTTTGTCCGGAAAGTAATAGGACTGAGTTGATTTAAAAAAAATTATTGAACCAATTGTTACAATTCTTAAAAAGAAAAAAATAGGCTCCTTCTGGGTCGATACAGTGCTGCCAGCGCGATTTCCAAGCAGTGAGCAGTGAGAGCCGAGGTGCATGTTGGTTGAATCCCCTCTGTCGTCTCAAAATGCTTGCCTTTCATCGCGAAAACGTTTGTCCTGTCTCTCCAGGTGAGACAACCGACCAGCCGCTCGTTCGTTAGCCAGGAACGCCCTCTACCGAATCCAGTCGGTGCGCGCACACTCCGAAATACATTCGCGGAGGTAGAAAATCAGTTCGATTACTTTCCGGACACAGGGTTGGTCCCCATACCATAGTGATCCGTTGCCGCCGGTTCTATCACGTTTAGAACCCAGCGACTATAATATTTACCGTTTGCTTTTATTTTTTGTAGAAAATAATTACCCAAGATTTCTTTCTCGTTAACGAGCGGGCTTCGTAGGCCCTTCGTATGTTAGGTCTTAATAGTTCAGTTCTATGCAATTAATGCAAATTTTATTAAATCTTTTATAAATATAAAATTTTTCAAAAATTTTTGTATTATTTTGTATGTATATATAAAAATGCGCAGCATTATTCAAACATTTTGCACACACTCGCTTATTCAGACCGCGTATCTCATGGCAATAAAGTAAAATATAAAAAAAAAATACCACCAAATAGCAGACTATTCAAATAATGAATTTTCCAAAAGATCTGTTGGTAACTTTTCTCCAAATTCCAATCAAAAACCAACAAGTAATTCTAGTATCCGCCAATAATGTTGACCGCACCCAGTACTCCCATCAGCCAAGCAACACCTTACGCATCATATAACCATTAGCACCGCTCGTTTGCGGCAACTCTGGCTCCGGCTCAATGCACTTGGAGGAGCATAAATAATGCAATAACGGTACACGATATTTGCCACAGAAGTCGACAAATTTAATATGTTCCACGCGATTGTCGAAGAAAACACCCTTGCATTTGGGATTTACACAACAATTGGCGCTCTGTAGATAATCATTGACCGTGCGCGGCACAATGCCCGGACCGAAGGGTATGCCGGTACACTTGACGACACGCGCAGCGAACTCCATCAGCGTGGGCGGCTTCATAGCGATATCTTGCACGAAACGCACCACCAAAGGGTTGTCGCGCAAGCTCAACTGTAAAAATAGATAAAAAAATATACATAAATATGTAAAAATCGTACGAATTGCTTAAAGCTGTTAAATATGCCCGTCTACTCACCTCTGTTAAATTTTTCAATGCGATAATATCTTTTGGCAAGTGTCTTAAGCGGTTTTTGTGCAACAAAAGTGACTTCAGGCTGTTCAAATGTGCGATGCTGGTTGGTAAATTCTCAATGACATTGTCGCACAGCACGAGCGCCTGCAGTTGGCTGAGCATGCCCACGGAGTCGGGCACATCGCTGATTTGATTGCCGCCTAGCGAGAGTACCTGCAAGCTGAAAATGAGCGTATAATTAGAATGTATTTTGTGATTTTTGTATGAGCAAGCCAGTAAAGTTCAGAGCTACAGATGTGGAACAGTTGCTAAGCGGCTTTGGACAGTAAATAATTTAGTGTGCACATTTTAAATTCAAATTTGTAGTTCGAATTACATAAACAACAGCTAATTAAAACATAACACCATAAATGATCAGCGTATCGAGCTGAGTCGAATTAGCCATGTCTGTCAGCCCCTCAATTAGTCTGTCTTTCTGTTTATATGCGAACTCGTTTCTCAACGTTTTAAGATACCGATATAAAATTTTGCAAAGTTTTTTTCCCCCAAGAAGCTTTATATTTATCGTGCCCCCGATATCCGACCTGTATAAGATAAAGCTGTCATACAAGTGACCGATCAAAATCACATTCTTTTATGGAAAGCTTCACGAAATTGGGCACGAGCTACTATATCCGAARTATCGAATAGGATCATATAGGCATATGTAGATTATTGCCCAAGGTACCGCTATAATGTCGGACTATATTGTGCGATTCGGACCTGTATAGCACCACCTGCTATAAAAGCTGAGCTTTAAAAGTCAAATTCTTGTATGGAAACAATTTTATTTGTGTGATTATAGCTTGCGTGCAACGGAAGTTAACATTTTTTAATGTTTTCGTTACAAACAAAAAAATTATTGCGCTTAGCTACAAGTTATGCAAGAAATACTGGTATATACGATTTAAAAAATCGAAAATAATTATATTGCGTTAGTAACACTTTCTGTTTTTAACATCTTGTTCCACACTATCGCTTGCAGATAACATCTGAATCTGCTTATAATCAAAAGTTTTATTTATGACGCACTTAGGTCTAATATTACATATGTACATAAATATGTATGTACATAAATACATACATGCAAAGTTGTTCACATACAAATGTCAGCGCTAATCAAACGTGTCCTAATACATAGTATGTACATTGAAAAGCTCCCAAGCATCTATTGCTTTTTGTTCATATTAGTATTATTTATGAGTTTGTTATAGCTTTATTGTATTTTTAATTTATGATTACACAAAGATTCTTATCGCCAGACAAAGGCTGCCTATCGTTAAGCACAAACTGGCAATAGTGCCATTAATTTTTTTTATTATTGCGTTGGTAAACAAAATTTTGATGTAAAGGCAGACATGATAAGCGCCGGCCCACACAGCAGCGTACATATGTCAAAATGAGAGTTAGATAAACAGAAAAGCTCTCGAAAACAAGTAATTAAATAAACGCTACTGCGACATGTGTCAATGTTTAAATGACATTGAAAGTTAAGTGCTTAACTACGTATTTGATATCCCACACATCATACATACCGTTCCGGTATTTTTTGAGTTTTTTATATTATTATTTTTAAATTATATACGTATTATATTAAAAGTACAATAATACCATCATAGTAGCTGTCATGTTATTAATTCACTATGAGACTATTGTTATTGCTCATATTAATTTGTATCAGTTATCGTTATTGTTTATTATCACTAACAACATGTTATCGTTTTTCATATTGCAGGCCAATAAAAATAACTCAAGTGTTGTACGTTAAACAAATAATAATTAATAACTACATATATCATTTTTGTGTATGCAAAAACTTAAAAATATATTGATTTATTGGGGAAATTACAATTCCTGCTCAAAATGTGTTTACAAACGACGACTTGAAAACAAAATGTGGCTGAATGAAATTGTTTACATTCAATATTCAATATGAGTTCAAATAATCGTTAAACGTGAATTCAAATGATGCCGGTGTCGGAACATGTAAGGTACCTTTAAATTGTGTTGATAATTGATTTTCCGGGCTTTTATAACAAATTTTCCTAACTTTTTTGTCTTGCAAAATTTAGAAGCACCCGAGCCCACTACAGTCGGGTCTACGTACGTGGAACTCAGCCGTTTTTATGCGTCCAAAGACTGTCAACTCGATAGTACTCTTCAAAATTAACTCTGGAACAACAATAACAATCATATAAAAGAAAATCAAACGCGGCGCTACTGCAATTCGCTGTGGAATATTTCCGCTTGATTTTTTAATCAAATATGCGGAATATCACACGTGTCAGAGCAAAAATTGATTCGAAAACATAAAATTTGCTTAAATATTGAATTATAACGCCTCACATACTACCAGTGTATAAAGATCATGTTAAGAAGAGCACATATCAGAATACTCACTAACCTAGTCGCGAATCAGAGCGTGACAAGCAACTTGTTCACTTTAGCCCCTGCTGGAAGTACAGAGTGAGTAAATAAGTATTATTTCTTGGAATAACGCTCTCATACATAGACATGCATGTAAGTTTGTATGCATATATGTATGTATGTGAAAATCTTTTCAATAAAAGTTACGGCGCGGTACCAAACGTATCTGTAGTCAGATTTTTATTTACATATGTACATTGTATTGTGTGTATGTATTTGAGTGCAGCACATGTACTACATAACGCTGTTCGAACTGATAATCTTCGACCGGAAAGGTTGAGTACGGCTTTCAAAGTTTTAAAAGGAAAAATAGCTGATATGACAAAGTTTTTTCACATGCATTTTTATATAAAATTAATTTCATAACTCTTGTTTAGTTAGACAACCTTCACACAGGTACATATGTACATATGTGCATTGTAAGTAGTAAACACATTTTGTTATTGTATTTTAAGTTTGTATGTACACATATAGTCAGGGCCGTGGAAAGAAAACCATGGCTAGAAGATTACGTAGAATTGTAGTGAATTGTTGGAGTTACAAAACCTGCATAAAATAGTGGCAGGTCCCGGTTGGAATCGTCCAAGATTTCTTGTTCACTGTACAAAGTCCCTGCGCGCGGATAGTTTATTTGCTGCGAAAATACTGCAGATTCCGACTATTATAAAAAAATAATCTTGTAGAAGCAGTCAGTCAGTTCTATTACACACCAAAAAAATATGCACACATTAATTTCAAAAAAAAAAAACTGCGCAACTGTCATTTCTATCAACTCGCGCAACATCAAATTCAATAACAAAACACTATTGCCCACCTTTGCATTTTCCATATATCCTTAGAAATTGCTGTTATCCTATTTGCACCGGCGTAGAAGTAGCGTAACTGGCGCAGCTCTAGCACCTGCTCGGGAAAATGCGTCAGCTGATTGCCGCTCAAATTCAGCTCCTTCAAGGCTGAGTTGCGCATCACAAACGATTTCGGCAATGATTTGTTGGACAAATTATTATTTTTGGCAATCAATGTGACTAACGGTAAATTGCAAATAGCCTCAGGCAATTGTGTCAAACAATTGGAGCTCAAATCTAGTACTTTCAAATTGACGAATTTAGTAAGCGCTGGCGGCAGTTGTGTGAGTCGATTGTGATTCAGCAGCAACGTCTCGAAATCCTTGTGTGTTTTGAGCACCTTTTTCGCATGCAAATCGTCGTCCAGTGTGATTACGGTGAGGTTCATACGTCCATAGTCCAGAGTTTTTTGCTCGCGCGAGTCTGTGTCGCTGCTGTCTGATGTGTATACTTCCATTTTTCTTAATAAATTTTATTGAATTTTCTTTTGTGTAATTAATTTAATATTTTCAAAGTTTTTCCAGTGTTTTTGTTTTTATATATAGTATAAATAAATTTNTCGTAGTAGTACTGTAAAATATGCCGTATTTTCTCTTTATTTTGCTCCATGTTTGCGACGCTATAACTCACGAACTAATTGAAAGAAACGACAATCAATCAAACACGCGTTAGCGCGTGAAATGGGCTTTCCAAAAAGGTATAGCATGACCCGATGCGACGATAAAACTAAAACTACGCGCTCTTAGCGCGAAAATACCGCAAGACTTAATATAACTTAAATATAGAATATTTAGAAATATGTTTTCAACTTCTCTTAATATTTTCAACACTCTTCTGTAGAGTAACGCATATAAGTGGAAGTAAATTTATTGATAATACTTCAATTTGCCTTTCTCCAGTAATGATGAGGAAATATGCATGATTCTGCTTAAATTAATACCTTGCTAGTGTTCGAATCAACGCATTGTTCAAGTGTCCTTCAAGAGAAAGAAGTATCGTTAATGTTTGGATGATCATAGGTGAATAAATGGAAAGAGGAAAAACACAGAGCTACATTTAGGCAAATTACCACCCAGCTTAAGGTGTACAACGGACAAGTTTACAAAAAATTACGGCTTACAACATTCAACAGTTGTAGACAATGCAAATTCATGAAGCGCAGTTTGCTCAATTAGGTCACCCGCAATTTATAAAGAAATGGAGAGTGTTCAAGTACGATACAAGGTTCTTTATTTGTTAGTCTTAGCCGATCTCAGTTACGATTCTGAATTCCTCACAAGGTGCCAGTAACGGTTAGATATCTGCATTGAATAAAGTATGGGAACTTACGTTAAAATAAAGCAGCAGCAAGTAATACAAGTTTATTGAAGAACTCGCTGAAAGCACGCAAATGGATTAAAACGCACTCATAAAGAAAATCAGTGAAAGTCGAAGAAAAATTCTGAAATATTTTTTAGTTTTAATTTTCGAATTTTTTTTTATTTATTTTTTAGTTTTTTTTATTAACGATTAGAAAATAATAATTTTGTAAAATTCGTGCTTCACTTTATAGTTAGTGCATAATTCCGCGCGTGTACGTCTTACTTCACTGACTGTTGTTCAATATTTTAATTCAATAATTTATTTCAATTGTCGATTGCCTATTACCCAATTGAGTACGCGTTGCGTTGTGTGAGCATGAAATTTTTATTATATTCTCAATTAAGCTTCTTCGCATAAAGCATGCGCTATTTAAGTTAACTAAAGCGAAGCTACTTGGTCTGATGATTGCCCACTGAGTATAGTAAACATTCGTTGAGGACAGCTGCTGTATTTCGCCCCGCGTGTTTACTTCGACGACGGCAACACGACTGCTAGTTCTGATCAGTACGGATTGAATGTTGGCTCCGCTTTTGTTTCGCTAATTGCCCGATTGTCAATGTGTTAAAAATTTTGGCAGTAAAAAGCTCTCGACACAATAGACGAGAGCGATAAGCAGTAGATGCGACTCCAGCCCAAGTAAAAATTGGCGTTTTTTTACAACGATCATAGAAAAAAGACGGCAGAAAAGCGTACGCGAGCGAAAAACGGTAGGTCGGAATGAGGCTTGGCACAAGTCCCTAGCGCAGAAAGCTGAGTTTTAGGAAGGTATTTAAAATATCTTTGGACTGGAATTCAATTTTCGAAATTCAAACTGAGAAGCTTCAGATAAGCATTCAGCAATATGTAAATAAGCGTTTCTGAAAAATAATTACATATAGATAAAAAAAATTTTCTAGAGTAGCAAAACATTTTTTTTTGCGTTTAGTTTAATATCCATAATACAATTAGTCTGTGCTTGGCAACTGTTTGTTTAAAGCGCAAATATTTTGTCTGATGATTTTTATATGGAGCTGTCTGCTCAAATCGGATCTTGAGTGTATACCCGACATTCATCTAGAGCCGTCACTTCCAACTGTGGCCCCTCGCCGTTGTAAAATCGACATGTAGTCTCCCTATTCCTTTCGTAACCCTTTTTGACCGAGCCATCCTTTATGTTTGTGATTATCGTCTTATTTTTACTCGATAAATACAGATGGCTTGTCACCCGATCATTACCATCTGTAGTAAGACAAATTTTTTCATTTACAATCCAAAATTTTTCACCATAAATTGCCGATTATTAAAGTACATTAATTTCCGCAAATGTACATGTTTTTCAAGTTACTTATTAAATTAAATACCTTTAAAAAATCATACTTTTTCTGGCTTGCAAATTGGTTATCTTACCTCGTAAGCCGTCTCTACATGGCTTACCTGCTCTTCGTAAGAAATAAAATACATTTTTATATTTTTTCTAAGCACCAGTAGTCTCGGCTGCGACCAAAGTCTAATCCTTGTCATGCGCTGCTATTATAAGCCCTCCCATTAAGTTGTATGCCCGACTTCTCTTCAATCATTCTTGCCCTGGGCATAACTAAAGATTAAGTAAAAAGCTCCATCTAACATTGTCACTCGAAGTATATTTATTAATGTTGATTACTATTACGATTTATAGTCTTGTTTTTCTCACTATAATTAGTTGAAACGTACATACATATGTACCATATGTACAAACAGATGCGCCTGTAAACTTCCCTTTTTGCGCTGATATCAGTCGGGAATCATTATCAGTGCCATTGACACACATACATATAGGCGAATTAATGAAAGCTTTCAATATTTTGTTGGATTTAAACAAAATTCTATTATTCCAGAGTGCTAGCGTACTCAAGCTAGTTAAAGCTTAAAACTATGCACATAAATAAAATTATTATTTGAATGTCTCTACAAAATCGGTTAAAGCTCTCTCATAGCAACAGCTTAAAATTATGTTCTCAAAACATACGTACATACATATACATATGTATTACGTATTTTCAAATTTTCGCTTTTCTCGTTACTCATACAATATATGTACCAAAATATCCAATTATTTTTGTGCTATATTTTTTACCACGAAAAGTCTAATGCTTATCAAATTTAGAAACATTACGAAGGTATATTTTTTAGGCGTTATGTAAGTTGTCTAAAATTTAATTAATGGACTTCCAACACAAATATTTCGCTTTGATAAACTAACTTAAGATTAGATGGGAATATTTCTTATCGCTAACATATTTGTTTGTGGTCTATTTTTATTTATGACTTCGGTTATTTTGTTTTATCGGGACTAAGAAAAAAATTATTGCCCAAGATCTTTCATGAAAGCTTTCTAAGTTATTGGCTAGATAATAGTTATTGGCTATAAATTCAAAGTATTTGGCCAGCGAAATATCACGAGTTCATTTTCCACACGCATTTGTGGAATTTGTATTCCAACGGTTAAAGGGTCCATTTTCAAGACTGTATTAAAAAATAAATAAATAAATAAACAAAAAAAAAAAAAAAAGAACAAATAACGTTACTTAAATGGTAAAAAAAAGTTTATCTCGTCGAACACTTATTCTAACGGTAATTTCACTATGATAACTGTATGTGGACTGATGGCATAAGGCCATATAAGCTCTTTTTGTAGTTTCGCGCTTACTTCTTTAAACCTTTGTTGTTTTGTAACGACGGAAAATATTCCTGAACAAATTTTGAATCCGGCCTAGTTGGCAGTCCTTGGCCGTATGAAAATTTGGGTGGCTTACAGTTACATAGACCCGACTTTCATAGAATGGCTTTCTTTACACTCATGTATTGCTCTCACTGACATTACGGCGCGCCAATAGTACCTATGTAAGTGTTATTTAGCTCCCAGTGACATATTGTTACCCCGAATGCTGATGAAATCTAAATCGGCTGACGTGAAATTTAGTAAAATTGTTTAATAAGAACTATAAATTATTACTTTTTTGCACAGATTAATCATTGCAAACGTCAAATATGTTTTCCCTTACATAGTATGTATGTTTGCAGATAAGGCAATGTCACTTTGACAATTAAAAATTTTGTTCTGTTCTATTGGTTGTAAACGTAAACAGTGAAAAATAGTTATATGCATATGCCACTACAGAAGTGCATACATATGTATATACATACATACAGCCTGCATATACACCCTGTAAATAACTATATTTACATTACATACATTTGTTTTTTCGTTAGGCGCTTATCAAAATGTATACATGCATACATATGTACGTACGTATGTATATTCACACTTATGTCTTTCTATACCATATTCGTGTTTTTGTTTTCACAAGTATTTAAATGTAGTAAACACCTTATACATACATATACATATGTATATTTATAATTAAAAAATTATGCAAGTCATCGCAATCAACTGCCAACCCAAACGAAGTAAATAATTAGCGTATGTTTATACACAGTGACCACACATGCAGTATTTATTGTATCTTTTCCGAAAGCAATGATATATTCTCGTTCAAATCCTTTGGGTGGTATTTTATTGTATATAATCCAAAGGAAATGTTATTAATGAAAGTTACTTATATGTATATATGTTTATCAGCTTATCTAATTTCACCCGCTAATTAATTGCGTACTTCAAAGATATTTTCCCGTTTTTCTAATATGTTTTAACTTTTTTTTCTAAAATTGTTCGCTCGCCTTCCTTATCAATAATAAATAAGGCCTTATCAATCTCTAGTTTCATATAAAGTTCACCTTATAACAACAAATCCTATTTGGGACCAAACGTTGCCTGTATTTGAGGTTATCTTGGAACATTTATTGAATTATTATTTATTATTCGCATTAAAAATTATTTTTGTAAAGTTTATGCAGATGTTGAAATTAAATTTTGTTAACGTGTTTTCATATATACGTACATACATACATACATACATATATATGTATATCACATCACCTCACTAGCACCTAGCAGAATATTGGAATTCATCAATCTGCTGGGGCTAAGTGAGACGCTGTGAGTTAGTAGAGGGCACAATAGACCCTAGGTCGCGGTGCAATCCTCATTCTTTATCTTATCTTATCTTATATGGCATAACCTCAAAGTGAATTTGAGATAAATTACGAAGTGAAAACTTGATGTTTACGCGATCGGTAATATGTTTATACGGTTCACGAAATTGTGAATTTGTTTCTTTTACAATAATGGCAATAAGATAAGTTATTAAAGCCCGCGAGGAAAAATTAATATTAAAGTTTGCTTGGTGAATCACCGACCAAGGCCTGTTTTTTTTTGGCGATCTAACCCCGTTTGGATCGGTAAGTGTGTTACGGCCGGCCATTAACTGCGCGGCTCCGATGTGGTCGACTTAATATAGTCCAACGCAGACGAAGGAACTTCAGACGTGTCCAAACACTGCACTTCGTCCGAAAACAGGATCACTCTTGAAGTTTATCATTGTCTGCTTTGATGCATTCGCAGATATAATTTTTTTGATTACGTGGACGATATAGCACAATACTCCGACCAGACTACGGAGGCAACTAACTTCAGACATGCACGAAACGTCATTCATAGTGATGCCATTTACATCCAAGATGTTGGCGTACTTGGAGTCAAAACACCACTGCAGACAAAGACTTTTGTGAAACTTCGTTCTGGATTTTATAGCAGATTAAACTCGCACCTGTCCAAAATTGACCCCGACATACAAAGCATTTGTCCTACGTGCAAAAAATCCCAGTCATCTAAAATCCCTATCCCTATGATTAAAACAGCACATTTCCTGGGCCCTTAGAAGATTTTGGCATATCTATGTGTTAGTTTCTATGCAAATTCTTCCAAATATCCAAAACACTGCAAATTACCTAACTAAAGTAAGTAGCCTGCAAGTCATTTATTAGTTAATTTACCGGTTAATTACCCAACCACTATTGGGGATTTCTGTTAAAGTTTAAGAGAGTATATTACCACCCTATTGAAAACTCTAAACGGGACTCTTGTGCATGTGTGATCGTTCATCTCTTTCTTACGCAGTGTGTAGTATGAGTTGCATGGTAAGTTTCTGAGCTAATTTCTATGAATTCGAGTTTCGGTAGCCGTAACGTTATAGTTGCATACACGTAGACTTGTTATTGTGAACGACTTTTCAATAAGAAGCAACGCATATAATTCAACCGTTTGACATTTTCAACTGTCATCGGCACCTCTTTGCAAAAACAATATTTGCAGCCTGTGTTAGCACAAATCCACCCAAAGTTTATTATAGAATTTATCGTGTGATCTTCTAAAAATTAGTCTTAATAAAGCAGATAAAACACTAATTATTTTCTAAAAACTAAAGTAATCACAATGTCAGATCTCGATAAGTGGATTGAGACAGTTAAGGAATGTAAATATTTGCCAGAGAATGATTTGAAAAAACTTTGTGATATCGTGTGTGAAATTTTACTTGAGGAATCCAACATACAACCAGTTAGCACGCCCGTGACAGTATGTGGTGATATACATGGACAGTTTTACGATTTGGAAGAACTCTTCCGCACAGGTGGTCAAATACCTGATACCAACTATATATTCATGGGTGATTTTGTAGACCGTGGTTATTATAGCCTCGAAACTTTGACACGTCTGCTTACACTGAAGGTGAGCGTTCAAATTCATTTGATTTATGCCATTTTTTTCAACATTGATATGTTATTCATTTATGCTAATAGGCACGTTATCCTGACCGTATTACGCTGCTGCGTGGAAATCATGAATCGCGACAAATTACCAAAGTGTATGGCTTTTTCGATGAATGTTTCACCAAGTATGGAAATGCTAATGCATGGAAATACTGTTGCAAAGTTTTTGACCTGCTGACAATTGCTGCGGTTAGTCTGGCAAAGATTTAATCTAAAATTGTGTACTAATCGTTTTTCTTTAGATTATTGATGAGGAGGTGCTATGCGTTCATGGTGGTCTCAGTCCAGAAATTATCACACTTGACCAAATACGTACTATAGACCGCAATGGTGAAATTCCCTATAAGGGTGCATTCTGTGATCTCGTGTGGTCGGATCCAGAAGATATGGACCTGTGGTAAGTACAAAAATACCTTTTTTTTTGTTTTTGCACGAATTATGTTTAATTCATGTGCATTTTCAGGGGCCAGAGTCCACGTGGTGCTGGTTGGTTATTCGGTCAGCTTGTGACAAAGGACTTTATGAATATTAACAATTTAGAATTGATTTGTCGTGCACATCAGCTGGTTAACGAAGGTATTAAATACATGTTCGATAGTAAGCTTGTAACGGTGTGGTCAGCGCCGAACTATTGCTATCGTTGTGGCAATGTAGCTGCGATTTTGACGTTTAAAACTGCGAAAGATCGCACAACCAGTATTTTTAATGCGGTGCCAGAAACGGATAGAGTCATACCGCAACAGAATACAACACCATATTTTCTTTAAAGAAACATATCTATTTGTCCACCCGCCCACTTGTGATTGCTCACCGTGGAGTATTCTTTGCCTTTAACGTTTACGCTGTGTTCTTCTTTACTCCACGTTTTTGATATACTCGATTTACCCTAGATTCGATATATAAGAATCTAAAAAAAATATCTGTTAAACGTACATATAATAACAATAGCTAAAATAATATAAAATGTTCCAGTATTGATACCAACTGCTGCAACTAGCCTGCAAAATATCACAACTTGTTTGAATGCATATCATCATTTTTTATTACTACGTAAAAAATACTTTGGTTTTATACATAAAAAAGTTGTATGAAATTTGAGAATGTGTAAAATTTGTTTTAAATATTCCTCAACTAATTTTAATGTATTTAAATTCGTGGCCTACGGCATTTACTCAAGCTATGTTACTTAATAATAATTCGTAAATATTGCCTAAGACCTGTTTGAGCGTATGCCTGTGTGATAAAAGTTGCACAGCTTCCCCAATTTAATGCCCTCCGCAATTAAATCGACATAAAAATGTGTATAATATGTGACTAAATGAAAATATCCACGCAATTCGCAATTAATGTAGATAACATAAAAATCTCTTCCGTTAAATTGGTCAAATGCTGTGGAGTAGCTATAAGTGTTGGTGCAAATACAGTGGCTAAATTATGCTCGTTCATTTTGTTAGCCGCGTAATGGGAAGCCACTCTAAAAAAGAATTCACAAAATAATCCAGAAATAACAATACAATTGGCTGAATGTTGAAATACCTTTTTAAATGCTCTGCCATGAATTTGAGGCAGTTGTAATGCGCTGGCGGTAAACGTTTAGCCGCCTCAGTCATATTACTTATCTGCTCTGCAGCGTTAGGGCTTCCTATAAGAAGCAAAATGTTTTTTTCAATAATCGCTAATAAACTTTCATATATTTCAGTTAATTACTTGCTGCTTGCATAAAACTCGGGTAAGCCTGAAAAGTGATGAGCGGCACGGGCAGTAGACGCAGATAGAGTTTCAAAGTGCCAGCTATCACATTTACATTGCCATAAGCGCCCTCCGACATGTCCGTCTTTTCGCCATCACGATCCAGCGCTAATTTGAGCGCGTCTATTTCATCTGCAAAGCCCGAAACGCGATATATACCCTCTTGCAACATACCACGTGCCTCAACCTCTTCCACACAACGTCTCACAACGAATGGTACACTGCTCTGATACAGCTGCACCACCGTGGTCAAATCAGTGCCAAATACACCACGTATAAGCTTCATATCCGGCACACATTTGGCCGGTACTAACTCTGCACATTTGAAATGCGCCATAAAACCGCATGCTTCACACTTCATACCCTGTGCAGTGAAACCCCAAAGAAAATTCGCACAAAACTCACACCAATTGAGACCCTTAAAGTTATGAACTTTAAAGGTATGTGCCTTTTCATACACAAGTGGTGGTATCAAGTCGGCGGTATCACTGGCGTCCTTCATTTTGTTGGTAATTTCTTTATTTACCGGCGCTTTGACACTATCGCAATCACCATTGACATCAGTGTTAGTAATTTCTATAACACCACAATTGTCTTTCGCTGACACCATTGACTTGCCAAGCTCATGGGATAACGCCCTCAATTTACGTCGATTAAGTGTCATGTATGGACTCTGTTGGTAGCAATTACGCGTTTGCTGATTAATTTGTAGAATGATGGGAGCAGCATGTAATTGCATGTAAAAATTAACCAGGCCGTCAGCAACCAAATCGTGTATGGTATCATAGTGCTTGGATTGTTCTTGCAAGTAGTGCCCTTTGCCAGGTTTGTAATAAATCTTAAAATGTTTGGTACGATAATTAAAACGCACGCTTAAAGTATAATAGTCATCTGCTTTGGGACTACGGCGCAACAAGTACGTGCCATCTGCTTTATTGGACAAAAGTTGTTCAGCTTCTAGGTGTCCCATTGCGCCGTGGTACTCTGGACCATAACAATGCCCTTCATTATTGGTGACATTTAATGTTAAGGGCCGTGTGCGGTGTAAAGGTTTGGGCGTGGGCGCTTCCAGTTGTATTTTATACACTAACAAAGAAGCATATTAGCTGTGGTCAGGGATACAAGGCACATAAATAATACTTACACTCGGGTTTCCATACCTTCTGCACAGGTGAACTGGGCTCCACAGATATAGTGGAAGGTCGCGACATTGCGCTGCGATTTTTCGCCGTTCAAATTTTACTATTTTCTACAAGTCTGTATCATTTTTCGCAAATTAATCTGTTCAATGAACTTTCGTAGTAAATTGCATCCATAGAAAACTATAAGAAGTTAAATGTCAAATATAATAGCAAACCAACAAAAAAAAAAGAAAAAAAAAACACAGGAAACAGGGCGATCACGGTACAAGTTCAACATGTTTCTAGTTTAGTATAAAAGTTGTATTGATTTTTTTTTGTGATACAAAAATATTATTATTCGCTATGAAGGTATGTAATATATATACAATACAGCATAAGGTAAACAAACAATTATTAATCGCTTGAATTCATAAAATGTTTGCTATATTGCAGTCACTCTGTATTTTTATACTTGATGAACTGTCAAGCTAACAACGTTGCTAACCCTGTTCATGTGAAATGAAAGAAGCAGGCATAACAAAACAAGAAATTTCCATTTGAAGTGTTTGATAAAAGAGAATCATAGAAGGTGAAAAACGCTCATATCGGTGAAAAATCTGTGAAAACTATTAATCAGGAATTTGTGTGAAGTTAGCAACGCGCGTGAAATTTTTATTAGTTATAAATTAGATATATAGCGAGAGAGTGAGAACGGATACGCAACCAGACAAGAAAAAGAAAGCATTGAATAAGATTTTAAGAGGGGTGTGCGGTACGTTCGGCAGTATCCAGACTTATAGAAGTAAGACCTTGAGGAAAAAGACGACGAATACTGCTTAGGACAGTGTAAGGCGAAGCACCAAGGAATGGCGTATGATCTCCAGCAGCCATTGTGAATACAAAAAAATCGGAAAATTTAAAGTTATTTTACAAGGGAAACCTAGTTGTAGAGATATTGTACAAAAAGTGTTTGTCCATAATGATAAAAGTAATGGGATCAATTGATGCGGAAGGAAATGTGACAGCCGGGTCGCATAGTGGACGTGAGGCACGCAATTTAGCCGAAAAGCAACGCCGGGACAAAGTAAATGCAAGTATACGGGAACTAGCTACCATAGTGCCGCAGGCGGCGTATTCATCGCGACGATTGGACAGGACCGGTATACTAAGGTGTGCAGCGCATGGTTTTCGTTTGCAATACATATTTGGTAAATCAGTGCCAAGAAAACAGTCAATGACAGAGCTATCACAAGATCCGCATTTTGCGGATGCGTTGACATACTTATTAGACAGCTTCTTTATAACATTAACTTGTCATGGACAAATTGTCGTAGTATCAAACAGTGTGGAGAAATTACTCGGACATTGCCAATCGGATCTCTATGGACAAAATATATTAAGCATAACGCACCCAGACGATCATCCGAATATGCTGCAACAACTAATACCACGTGACATGGAATCGCTATTCCGTTGCAGTCACGAATATCAAATGCAGCAGCAAAATAATGGTAATAACAGCAATGAAAACACTGATACGTTTTTGAGAGACATCAATGAACGCTTGCGTAATGATAAGCGTTCGTTTGTTGTACGTCTTGCACGGGCGGGTACACGTTCAGAGGCGAATCGAAAGTATGAATTGCTGCGAATTGATGGCTGTTTTCGACGTAGCGACTACTCCTGCTCAAATGGCACATTTCCCATTGTTTCACATGTTTTGCGGCGGACACGTTACAATGGCACTGAAGGTGTCCACGCAATGCAGCATGATGTTATAGCACAAGCCGCACTGCACGGCATCAGTGGCAACGATGTGGTGCTTGTAGCTATGGCACGCATCATACATCCACCAAAGATTACCCATTATCTAACGAGCGAGAATAGCGGACGCATGGAATATAGAACACGCCACTTAATAGACGGACGAATAATTGACTGTGATCAGCGTATCGGGCTGGTGGCTGGATACATGAGAGATGAGGTAAGGTTGTTTACTACTATTTTTAGCATTAGGCATAAAAAGTTAAAAATCACAGTTGAAAATATACACACACATATATGTAATTGATAATTAGACAAATTTGTGTAGCAACTAAGTGCTAAAAATGCAGGTATTACCGTAAAGAGTCATTTAATAAATAAATATAAATAGCTCAATTATTTGCTTCGGGTAGGTTCGGTCAGTAGAAGTCTCGCTTTGCTGAAAGTGGTTGTTGCTTTGTTTGTTTCTCTTAGCCGCCTTATCAGTCAAAGTACACGTATTTGTATGTACATATGTGTGTTTATTGCTTTTCGATGATATTTGCGTTATTGATACAAATATTTGTATACTCGCACATATGTAGGAGCACTTATTCTGCTCAACTTGCGAATACGGCGACAGCAAAACAGCTAAAAAGTATAAAACAAAAGAACTAAACGATAAAATGTTTAGCATTTTTTATTCTAAACAGCCGAAAACAAAATGTCTTTCTGTCCGTCTGTTAATTTTCATATGTACACACAGCTGTTCAGCAGACTTCAGAGCATAACATTTGATTTCTTGTTGTCAAAATTACTTTGCTGGATTAGTAAAATTAATTAACCACACATTTAAATAATATTGTATTTAAGCTATATTAATATGTATGGTTGTGTGTAGTATTTGTTTGTTATTCTGCTCAACGGCGAAGGCATTCGCATTAAGCGTATTGAACTGCCATTCAACCGAAAAAAATCAAATGATCAAGAGACAAGAAATATCAAAAAGCACTCGGGTTTTGATCTAACACTTTTGATTTTACGTAAATAATTTAAACTTTTTTTTTATACACGAGGGTACGTAGATATCTACATACATACATACATACTATATGTATTTGTTCAAACAGGTTTTGTGAAGTGTATGTGCTAATAAAACAAAAGATTGACGAATTTGATTTTAAATTATCAAAGTTCTAATTTTGTTACAAGAATTGGTGGTTGGAAGCATTTTTAAAGAAGCAAATGAAAAAATTATTAGGGCTTAACTATGTACAGCTGCCCACTTTATGAATATATTACATATATGTATGTATGTATAACATATTATAAAAAATTGCAAGTCAGTAAATATGTACATATGTATGTGTGTGCATTCTACTAAGGATAAGTTAAAAAATAATAAATTGAAATGAGCGCAGTGATTGTGTTGTTAAAACGCCACACACAAGCCTACATACACGGGGATGTAAACATGTATGTATGTATGTAAGTATGTATATGTGAATTTTTGTTTACGGTATACTGAGAAAAAATATTATATACTTGCGTATCTGCCATACCTACAAATATATATATACATACATAGGTATATACATATCTACAAGTAACAATTTGTATGTTTGCCTAAGATGGATATGTACATACTTATGTGTGTGACGCACACCGACAGCGCTTTTAAATGGTTTACGTTTGTTAGAAATAGAATTGGCTATAAATATTTATATAAATCTATTTTATTCGCATGAGCTTTCACTTATTATTTTATTTATTAATGTTATTTTTATTTATATTTTTTGTAATAATTTTCAAAAGCATGTAAGTAAAACAATTTACCTAACAGCAGCCCGTGACGCCTGCGGGAGTTGCATATGGAGGCTGTAGGTATGGTGTATAACATATACATACGTATGTATGTATATTTTTGCTGATATCAAACAGCTTCGTAGTTTAAATATATGGGAGAATAGTAAAGGAACACAGATATAATACATTTATACACATATGTAGCAGTTAATTTTATACAAGTAAGCATACATAAAAAGATACTATCGTTCATACAATATATGTTTGATTGACACAAACAAATAAATTTTTATGTTTAAACATTGCATACATATACATATAACATCTATGTATGTATGTATGTATAAGAACCGAACTATAAGTTTTTAACTATTTGAGGTTATGTCGGGCACTATCGTGTATCGTTTCGTCTGCGGCTGTAGGTTATACTTTATATTTGCTATAAGTAAATGCATACATGCATACATACATACATGTGTATTTTGTGTATTTATATATTAGTAAATATGTTTCTAGTATGTATGTGGCTAGTAAAATAATTACCAGATTTTATTTTACGGGTGAAAATTAATTAATTTTTTTTATATTTAAAAAAATCTTATACAAATTCACACATACAATGACCCTGATATCTGCATTTCAAATTTTTTTTTTGTGCATTTCATTTATTTTTTACATATATTTTTTTTTCTTAGTCGCACCTCTTTCGCAATTAAAATTTTTATTTCTTTGAACAATAAGCAGGCTTTTTATCATAAATTAAAAATATTGCCACGTTGTCCCATATAATGTATCAAATGAGGCTTGCTAAATGATAGATTATATATTTTATTACAAGAAAAGCTGGCAGCTCATAATAATAATATATATATCCTATTTTTTATTCATTTTTTTTAACTTGATTAAAAATAAAAGTATTTGAGATAAGCTCATTGTTTATGGCAAGCACACTACCAGATATAGCATGGAAATGCCAATAAAAACTGTTATAAAATTTTTTATTCTCCTTTTTTCTATTTTGTAGTAAATTTGGAAACAAATCTAAGCAAGATAAGCCTATTGTAGGTGAAATAAATCGTTATTTTGTATCTGCGTTTACTGTTAATTTAAATATCAATGAGTATGGCGTGAGTTTGTGTGAGGGTTTGACTTCTTATGACATATTTGTTTACATTTTAGTTGAGTATTGTTTTCAGCCAAACAAAATAAATCATATTTTCGAGGATTTTCCTGCTTTAAATTACTTACATATTTATTTACGCGTGCTTATTTTCATCTTCCATTGCAGGTCTACAATCTTAGCCCGTTCTCTTTCATACACCACGATGATGTGCGTTGGGTAATTGTCGCGCTACGCCAAATGTACGACAATTTTGACGAGCAAGGTGAAAGCTATTATCGCCTACTCACACGGAATGGAACCTTTATTTATCTACATTCGCAGGGTTATTACGATACCGTAGACACCGAGCGTAATGTCTACTCCTTCATTTGTATAAACACGCTGTTGGATGAGGAGGAGGGCCGTTATTACATGGAGGATATGAAGCGACGATTTTCCACAATTATACATTCGAATTTGCCCATCTCTTCAACGGTGGATGCACCTGCCTCTCACGATCCCGTACGTTTGGAACGCAGTGTAATGTTTTTAATTGACAATTTACAAACACGTCGTACGCAAGGTAATGGCACAGGCTGCGGTGAAGATACCGCTACACAGGCAGACAATGAGCGAACAAAAAGTCGACGTTTGATGTTGGTGCCGCCGGAAGTCTCCTCGGTGCGCAGCTCAATCATGCAATCGTTGTCCGTGGTGAATATTGCTGCTAAGAATTTGCGCAGAAATATACGGCGAAAAGCGCGTAGAGATTTGCGTAAAGCGCAAAGAGGGCCGCAAAGCTGCAGCGATAGCAGTGATACATCCATCTCAATAGATAGCAGTGATGAAGATGTTGTGAATGATCAAAACACTGCTTCGTCCGATTCCACTTACACAGATGCAACACAAGCGAATTTGAAGCGACCAAGTGTACTGCAGATGAATACAGGGGCATCTACAAGTCAGCGGAGCGCGCTGGAACAGCGCCTAACTGAATCGACAATTGGTGAATTCGATGTGAGCAATGCAACACACACACCCGCGTTAAAGCGTGCACGTGCATCGGTAATGGCAGCTAGTTGTAGCAACGACAAGTGCAGTGGTGGCAAAAAAAAGAGCACCAAAATATACGTTGAAGAAATCATTCTTCAACCGAAAACTTGCATGAGCACGCTACTAACGCCACCCGCAACCACTATGCCAATTGCAAGTACGACAGAAATCCATGAAGTCATCAACAATTCTTTGGAGAACATCGATCAGTCACTGCAGAGCATACAAGCGAATGCACGCAATTTATGCCAACAACATGCGCAATGTTTGCCTCAAAATGTGCCACAGAACTTCAATCAGCAACTGGATGAAATTATTGTGGAGCATCAGCGCCAAGCCGAGCAGCTTATTAATATCCGAAATGAGTACGATGTACATTTGCAGCAACAGCTGATGCAACAACAACCGTCCGCATTTGATGACTTAGCTGCTATAGATCTACCGCTATTACCGCAGTTGGTATTTCCCGGCGATGAACAATCGCCGCATGTCGGTGCTGCGCCAATGGCCGACAATTATACAGAGGCGAGTGCTACAATTCTTAGTGAGTTGGAAAAACGGCTATAGTGTGTGTGCCAAGTCTGCCTTTGGTGGCTGGTCTCTGCTGTGACAATAACATCGTTGTAAGAGTTATGTGTGTGTACGCAACGGCGGCGCCGACACCTTCCATTTGTGTCACAATACAGTGTAGTGCAACCGGAGCTGGTAAGTGTGCATTCATCGTGTTACTCATATTAAGGCAACTACAAAAACACTTCAGACAACAAAAAGAAAAGTTCACATCCAAACTAATTCACTAACAAACAATTTTCCAAACAACATTGATATGGTGTGCCAGGTGGTGGCATAGAGCATATTTTTGGTGATTTCACTACAAAGAACAAACAAATATTAAACTATGTGGTGGCTTAGTAGGATATTATTACACTTAAACTAACTGGTGTTGAGAATTGTTGGCGTGTTAAGATAACAAAATAGAGTTATAATGTGATGAGAAAATGAAAAACAAAATGCAGCAATTAATTGACATTGAAAGTGAAGAAAAAAAGTATAAAGAAAGTTTTAATAATTGCACAATAATAAAGTCTTGATATTGTATAACGGTTTTTAAAAGTGATTGCTCGTTTTCTGTGCTCAAATACTGGCACGAGCTTATCGAGTTCAAAATAGATAAGCAAGTAGCTTTGAACAGGAAATGTTACATACACAGAGTGTTTAAATATGGGACGATTTTTTTTAATAGCCAATCGCAGAATCTGTGAATTACATAATAAAAAATGCATTATGTAAACAATGTTTTTTGTTTTAAAGAACATTTTTATAGCAAGTGCAAGTGATAGTGTAAATAAATTTTCAAATTTATTAAAAAAAGAAAATTTTTTAAAATAGTTTATTAACATTTTTTAATTCCCTTACACTTTGTGTAAAAAAAAAAGTTTACTGTGGTTATTTTGTAAAAATTAATTCTAAATTCATTATGAAGTAATCATTTACTTTTTTTTTAATATTTGCATTTTATAAATTTTGCGATTAGAAACTCAACCATAATCAAATAAAAAAACTCATCAGTGCTTTGTAATAAAGTGAATTTGTTATATGCTTATAAAGTTTCTTATAAACAAATCAAAACCACACTGACTGTTTTATATTAAAAGAAAAGTGCCATTAAATTTTTTTTAATACAAAATAATTAAACGAAAATTCTCCAATTTTAATCTTTCATCATTATGGCAAACAAATCCATTGAAAATTTGCAAAAATTGTTTAGTAAATTTCGCTTTGAAAAAAGTCGAAATCAAAAATTAATAAATTATTTGATTGTTCCGAAAAAATAGAACAAATAAAAAAAAGTTTGGCTAATAAGCATATGTGAAAACAGTCTATAAACATATTACAACTAATATTGAATAGAAATTTCTTAAGAAGAATCTATAAAAAAACACATAATTATTAAAAAATCTCAAGTTTATTTGACAATTGATTGAGAAACTTGCGTAGATAGCCATGCAACCAATTTATTCAGCAAATTGAAAGAAAAATTTATAAAACCGACAACAAGAGCGGTGATTTGATAATAAAAAACGTAATATGCAATACAGGCCAAAAGTAAGGGCTTGCGCAGAGTATTTTTTTATATATATTCGACAATTTATAATATTAAAAATTATATTTTTTATAAAAATAAGCGAATTAAGAAGATATTATTCTTTACAAAAGCAAATAATTAATTAATGGAAATAAGATAAGAACTAATTGAAAGACTAATATTTTTAGCGCGCTGTGCAAGTTTTGAAAAGATTTTTTACAAAAAGTATAAACAAACATCTTGAGAGATAGAATGAACAATGTACCCAAAAAAAGTATGTGTTATTATACATACCTAACTTTTATTTAAAAATAATATGTATATGTATATGTGTATGTGTACACATATAAAAATTTTACTTAGAAACTATATACATCAAAAAATTAAACCGAACATAAGAAACATTTAAACGCGAGGCCGTAAAAAATATATTACAGAAAATTAAAAACACATACTTGCTTCATAAATAATAATGAAATAAAAAAAAAAAACATTTGCTTGCATATTTAACTTTTATACAAAAGAAAAAACCAAAGAGACAACCTACGACGTCTTGGCTTCCCAAAACTAAACAAAAACTTGTCAACGCATTTTCACTCCAAACGCTTTAGCTGCAAAAAATTCTCAACACATAAATATAAACAAAAATTGTTAAATAGATATATTTTATTTTTTAAACTATATTTTTACAAAATATTTTGTATCACTAATAATTTTTAATGCAGGTTTTACAAATATGTTTTTATATATTGTTTTATATTTTACTTTATAATCGTTTTTCTTACAAAATTTTACCATTAACCTTAAGTTTGCAAACAATTAAGAACAGCAAATATTGGAAAATGTATATATTATTTTCTTGCATTGTTTTTTATTATTTAATTTTAATTATTTCTTCTAAGCAGTAATTAAGTTGTAAAAAAGTAAACCCAAATGATTGACGAAATTTTATGGCAAAGAAAAATGCGTACATTTAAGTAATATCACTGTTTTTATTATGCACACAAACACACATCAATATGTATACATGTTTTTAGCTGTTAACGGTATATCTTAAACTGATGAAAGCAAATAGTTTTTCACTAAGAAAAGCTTACAATAAAAAATATAACAATTATTTATACATATACATACATATGTATATGTATACTATATTTATGCATGCAAGTTTATGTAAATATGTATGTATGTATAACTCTGCGAGTATAAGTAATAAATTTAAAAATAATAAAGGAATGTGTCATTCGAAAAAATACACTATTTTTATTTTCGCTGGTGCAAGGTAGGTTCTTTTAAAAATAAATTTTATAAATCTTCAATTAGCTAAGCGGAAAATTTCATTCATATATCACAAAATTCCAACAAATAACAGAGAAAATGCAATATTTCAAAAATTTGTACAATTTCGTACCACGCGAACAGACCTGCGAAATGCATTTTTACAAATTGTCAAATTGCACCATATCTACTAGGCGAACAGAACCGCACAGAAAGTGCATGCATCTGCAGCCCCTGAAAGCATGCCTCTCACATATGCGCCACGTGGCAGAGCAACATGGCAGCACACAGTCAGATGTCGCCCTATGCATGTGGCTAAGCAACATGACGCGCACACAGCTACATGTGGCTAAGCAACATGGCGGGCACACAGCTACATGTTGCTCGTATACATGTGGCTGGCAACATTTGCGGCGCTACTTGCTTGCAATTCTGCGCGCCTGGTGCATTGGGCGGAATTTTCGATTTGTGAAAATGCAATGCGCGCAGGTCTGTTCCTTTCTTGCGAATTTGTTTTTGAGAAATTCTTTAAAATTTAGGTGCGTGATGTATACGACTTTTATTCGTTATTTTAGTAAAAGACAAGTAAAAATAATGCATTTTTATTATATTTTTTATTTATTTAATTTTTCGAAAAATTCAAGGTTGCCATATGAGTTTTAACTAAAAAAAAGTTTATAAAGTACATTTTTTATTAAATAAGTAATACTAATTCATTTAGTTCCTTAAAAATATTATAATAATTTCGTTTAGGGTTGCCAAGTTTACAAAATAAAATTTATATCAAAATTAATAAATAAATTCATATTAATACTAAAAAATTAAGCCCTTCAAAAATATTATAATAATTTTATTTAGAGTTGCCATATGATTTTTGGCTAAAAAAATTTACTAAGTAAAATTTGTAAAAATCAATATACATACATATGTACATGCATATATGTATGTAAATTCACATTTGTATTAACAAATACAGTTTCCAAAAAATATTATAATTTCTTTAAGGGTTGCCATGAGAAATAAAATTTATATGAAAATCAAAATACATACTTACATATGTATAAATTCACATTAATATTTAACAATATATATGCATATCACCTTTAAAATATTACAGTAACTTCTTTTAGGGTTGCCACATGATCTTTGATGAAAAAATTTTGCAAAATAAAATTTATAGTAAAAACGGTAAATACTACATATTCATATTAATACTAAATAGTTTAGCTTCTTAAAAATATTTTGATAATGTCCTTTAGGGTTGCCATATGCCTTTTGATAAATAAAGTTTACAAAATATATTTTTTGTTTATTCAACACATACTAAAAAATTAAGCCCTCCAAAATATTACAATAATTATGTGTAGGGTTGCCATATGATTTTTGGTTAAAAAAATTTTAATTAATAAAATCATTATTAAAAAATTTACTACTTCAAAATATTAAAATAATTTCGTTTAGGGTTGCCATGTGATTTTTTAACGAAAAAAGTATACAAAATAAAATGTATATTAAAATTAATAAAAATAATAATTCACATTAACCATAAACAATATAACTCCTACAAGATATAAACATTTCGGGTTGCCATATGTTTGTATAAGCCGAAATATTAAATTTTGTTAAGTTTTTAAATATACATACATATTTATGTATATACACTAATTTTAAGCATGCATACATACACACTTATTTTTAAGAGATAGGGCTGCCAAAGCAATTATTTAATATAAATCATATCAATTTAATACGAACAATGCATTTTCGCTTCTTTTGAATTTTTCTACCCATTCGCATATGTGAAACCAAGCGCATTACAACAACCACTTCAGCTGTTTTATATACATATGTACAGACATATGTATATGTGTACGTTCGTTGTGTGCACTTTTTCTCACATTCTTGTTTTATTTGCTCCTACTTCGCGTTCGTGAACTTGAACTTCACGCTCGTTTTAAAAGTGACTTTCGTCGGAAAAATACCAACAATCAACGAAATTTGCATGCTAGCAATTAGGCGTTCACAAACAAATAAGCGTACATACATACATACGATCGTACACTGTATATAGTGAGAATGTAATATCTGTATGTATGTACATATGTGAGTCTTGGTCATTTCAGCTGCGCTTTTTTTGGTGAAGCTGCCTTTAGCGGGTTATTTAATGAGTAACAGTTGAAAAAGTAAATAAATACAGCTGGTGGGCTAGCGCACCTTATAGGAAGAGGTTTTTAGCACTCAGATGTTCACTGGACAATAAACAAGTAGGTTAACAAAAACAAACAAAAACTTGAACAAGCGAAGGTGTTTTGATGACGTTGCGCTGATGACTTCGAAACAACTCATTGGCAGAGGCAAAGTAAAGAAATATATTGCTGTGAGATGCTGGTTGGAGGAACAGCTGTAGGGTGCTCCAATTGGTGCTTGGGAAAATAGTGACATAAATTCTATAAAAATTGTTACTATTGTTGAGTACAAATGGGTCGTCATAACACCGATTTTCGGAGAATCAAACTGAGCGATTGATGATGGGAGCGTTCCTGCGACAGCCGAGAACCGGAACGGACCCGGATTTTAATGCGACCAACAACTGGCAACTCGGCAGTATTCCTCCAAACTACTTCAGGGACTGTTAATGCGACCGTTCCGACGACAGCCGTGAAAGTTTAAGGCTGCAGCAACAAGTTTTGATGAAACCACACATATTACAGAAATCTAAAGTTTGAAGATTACTGCTTTATATTGCTGCGCATACAAAGTAGAGTATAGGCTCGGACTCGAACAATAATAGCTCAGAACTGTTCGTTACAGAAAAATTCTACCTAACAATATCTCATACCAGTAAATCTTAAATTCGTATTAAAAATTCGTTTAGTAACCGAGTCCCGACTTCATTCAGTTGGTTCGTTTGTACAGTAGCGAAAAAGAAGAGGGTACGCCATCGCCGCAGTCCTGGTCGAACCAAGACG